TTTTTTTTTTACATAACCTTAGCACCTTCAAAGACCTCTCCATTTCACTTAATATATTTTTCAAATCTGTAATTCCATTCTTGGAAACATTTTGTAAACTCATCTGTTTGGATGGCTGGCAGCACCTCCATCGTTTTGTTCCTCACCTCTTCTATGTCTTCAAATCCCTGTCCTTTCAGGTCCCTCTTCATTTGCAGAAACAAAAAGAAGTTGCATGGAGTGAGGTAAGGTGGACAATGTGCGTGGATCAAGAGAGGCACACTGTTTTTTGCCAAAAATTGTCGCATTGAGTTGGCTGCGTAAAATAGGTACATTGCTGGGGTAGCAAAACCAGCCCCCCATCTATCTCAAATCAGGCCTTTTTTTATTGCACACGGTTACACAATCTTTTCAGAACCTCTAAATAGAAAGCTTGATTAGTAGTCTGACCAGGTGGAACAAACTCTAATGCACTACGAGTTGACATTTTCGTCTGTTTGGGAAATTGATGGACGTTCAGAATGAGGTTTGTCATCAATTAACATTTCACCTTTTTGAAATGAGAAAACCACTCGTTCACTTGCGTTTTTCCCATAGTGCTGTCCTTATAAGGTGTGTTTAAGATCATAATAGTTTCTGCAGCAATTTTCCCGAGCAGGAAACAAAATTTCACAGCTGCATGCTGTTTTCTTAAATTAGCCATCAAAAGACAAGGGTCAAGCAGAACTGCTTTTACGAAAAAATACACTGTGATGAGAGGACATTCCCAGGCGACACCACTGAGTGCACCCAGTCAGAATGAATGTGTGGATGTCTCACTTAGTGGGGAAAATGTGTAATAGGAAAGCTCCACATTGCCTGGCGCCATTCTGTTGTTGTTTTGGGGGGTGGGGGGTGGGATGGTTGGGGTGGTGGTAATCCCCTTGTATAATTAACTTCTTGATATAAAGTTCTCTCTTACACATGAGTGTCCCTGAATTTGTTTCTCTAGTCAACCCGGCCTAACACAGCATGTTGCCAAAACCAAAATCCTCACTGCTATTGCATCCATTCTGAATTCATAGCAACCCAAAAGGACCGGGTAGAACCACCCCTGTAGGTTCCCTACTCATAACCCATTATGAGAGAAGAAATCTTCATTTTTCTCCCAAGGCGCAGCTGGTGGCTTTGAACTGCTGAACTTGAGGTTAGCAGCCCAAAGCACAACCCTTGCAATACCAGGGCTCCTATGCGTGTCACAGAAACCTAAGATTTAGTCTTCAAATATAGTCATTTCTGCCCAGTAACAACTCAAGTTAAAAACTATAGCCTAGCATTTATTTTTGATAGGCAGAATCAATTAAACCTTGCTTTTGAGCGTGACCATGTAGTTCTTTAAATGTATTATGATAATTAAATAAAAATCTTCAGAAGCAGCCGTCATTTAGTAATCTCTACAGCATAGTGGTATGGGGCAAGACAATGAATAGTATTACCTGAATCGTAACTTCTATCAGGAAAGCTCATCACTTCATCAGATTAAAGTATTCTTGTGTTTTTAAAGACTTTAATCCTATTTATATCACAACTCTCAAGTTTTCTTTTGTAGTTCCTAGCTAGTCATGAATCACTTCTGTGAAAATGTTCCAAGGTGCTTAATAGTCATTAGGCATGTAACCAGGGAGCTGTTCTCTGGAATTAATCTGAGTCTGGATTCATAGGACCATCATCTGGTGAAGGGAGACGTCGGACAGTGTAAGATATGACAAAATAATAATGTATAAAATATCAAGGGTTCATGAGGGAGGGGAGAGGGACAAGGGAGGGGGGAAATGAGGAGCTAATGCCGGGGGCTTAAGTGGAGAGCAAATGTTTTGAGAATGATGAGGGTAACGAATGTACAAAGGTGCTTTATGCAATGGAGGTTTGTATGGACTGTGATAAGAGTTGTAAGAGCCCCCAATAAAATGATTTAAGAAACCAATCATCTGCGTCACTGTTGTTAAGGCATATATCTGAGCTTTATCGTCCATAGTTTCTGGCCCAGCAGGATGGATTAAAGTGGTCTAAGATGACTCTGATTCCCAGCCAAGGTGGAGAGCCACTGGCCTAGGCTTCGTCATTTTCAGAGGATGTATCCTCAAAATGTCAGGCAATTTGCCTGAACTCGTTCTCCTATGGCATATGATCACTGGCTTTCTCTTTGGTTTTATTTCTTTAAAGATAGAGCCATTTATGGTGATTATGGGCAATTCCATCAGAAAAAAAAAACCCACAAGAAAACTAAGGTCAAGAAAGATAATGCTTTTTAAAGAGCAGAAGGGTGACTCGGTAGGCAAAGGGATCTATTGCTTTCTCCCCCTGGGTCCAAGTTAGTTACTTATATAAGACTGATGCTCACTTGGGACTGTAATTGGCAAACAGAACACTAGTACCAGCTTTACAAAGCAAAGGCGGTCAACAAGTCTTCTGAACCTGATCCTCCCCCATGGCCACAGGCTACTGAGGACAAGCTGAACATTGCCTGTTGGGTTCTTTGGCATCAGCTTGCTGTTGACCCAGGGAAGTTGCATAGGAATGAAAGATGCAGGTACCCCAGTGACAGACAGAAACGAAAATGCAGCTCTCTCCTCTTTCATAAACCTTTCCTGGACTTGAAATAGTCCTATTTTCATCTTAGTGAATCAATTGAATGCAACACTACTTAGGATGAAATTACATAAATCTACTTTGAACATATGCATCATAAAGCTTTTCCTTTTAACATTGCTATAATACATGACAAAAAAAATAACATATACAGCAAGGAAAAATTAACCCAATTGAGATATATTGGCTGATGAGTTTAGTAAAGTAAGTCAAAGCTGTCATCTTTTTATCTGTTTATTTTCACTTTCCCACTAAAAACATCCTTATACATTTCGTTTCATCTAAATCTGGCAAGAGAGGAAGATCTGAACTATGAAGAATATGGAAAGTTCTTTTCAACAATGGCCATACTGTCATGATTGAAGTATGTTTGAGTATAAATAAATAAAAAGGAATTATTCAAAATCAGGTAATTATTTGCTTTGCTTTGTAATGTGGAGAAAATTGGTTTTAAATGTTCTAAGCATTTCCAATTTAAAATGCCACAGTAGAAAATAATCACCCTGCCACCTTTTGCTTAACTGTTGTCATTAATAATTCTGACCGCAGGGATATCAACTGTGATGGATATATCTTAACAGATATCTACCTTTCACAGTCTCTCAGTTGACTTTGCAGATGAAATAGGTGTATTGTTATATATTGAGAAAATTCTAAAAAGAGGTTTCAATCTTCTTGATAAATGAATACATCTTTAACAATAGTTCTATGAACATACAAAAATCATAGAAACACCTCTCCATTTTGACTTAACTGAAACATGACCCAAGAAGCTAATTGGTATCCATTCATGGAAGAGATAGAATGATATGTAGCATTTTAAGCAATAGAGTCTAAAGCAGATGAGATATCAGTAGTTAGGAAAGAAAAAAATTATGTTCCTCCTCAAATATTTGCCAGAGTGTTTTGCTTTCTTTTTAAAGGTTTTGGTTATGAGAAGTATAAAATAATAGAAAAATGCAGATTATTAGAAAGTTATTTATGATTTCAATCTATTTTTAAAAATATAGAAGACAAGGTTTGGAAACCCACAGGGATTTTTTTTCTAGTCTAAGTTTCCTTTCTGATGACAAAATTAACCGTGATAATTCATCGTCATTTTAAAAAATCTTCCTTTTGGCTCTCCTAATATAGTCAGTGTCTTTCTGGGAACTATGAAGATTTCCAATCGGACACATTAAAAAGCACTTTCCTTTCATTAGAAATAGATGCTTCTCATAAACCAATATTCCATCTTGCCTCTCAGAAGATTCCTAGTCTGTGACAATTCTGAAAGTGATAATAAAAATTCTGGACAGCAGATTAATTTAAGAGAAGAAGTACCTGCTGTCACTCTTAAGAACCATTAGGCCTGACTTATCTTAATGAGAAGTCAGCAAGAGGTCAATGAGGTGGCAACAAAATGAAGAGTCAGACTTGTCTAAATGGTGAAACCTGACTGTGAGGAAAACCTGGTTTGCATCTGAAAATACACGTTCCTGACATTCCCGAGACTTTAAGTGCCTTTGTTTTTTAACCCCATCTTTTATTTCTACAGTAATGCCAACTTTTCTTTCCTTCTATTACCTCTAGCGAGTAAGAAAAAATGTCTCCTTCATTGCTTATAACATTGATTATAAAACCTCTTAATTTTTTAAAATCATTTGATTGGGGGCTTGCACAACACTTACCACAATCCATCCATCCATCCATCCATCCATCCATCCATCCATCCATCCATCCATCGTGTCAAGCACATTTGTACATTTGCTTTCTACTTGAGCCCTTGGTATCAGCTCCTCATTATTCCCCCTCCCTCCCTTATAAACCCTTGATAATTTATAAATTATTATCTTTTCATGTCTTACACTGTCTAATGCCAAACCTCTAACTTATCTTGCTTCTCTTTAACCATTTTCTTAAGTTGTGAAGACTGGTTTGTACTGTACACCTATATTCCCAATCATCAGGAATCTAAAACACTACATTAGTAATTCAGGGTAGAAATCAAACTATTCCCTACCTTGACCATCCTTCACTTTAGTTATAAACAGAAGAATCTATCTTTATTTTACTCTTGGTGCCAAAACTTAACTAGGTGGTGTCGTCAACACAGAACTGGTTTAATCGTCCTGGTTCTCAGCTCCAATGCTTTATGAATATGGTGGTTTCAGTGACTCCTGTGAGCCTAGGGCTTCTCACACCAGCGACAGCCACAAGTTGACTGGCATCGAGACTCCCTCAGCCTTTCCCTGCATCCCTGTCTTGCAACCAATTCAGAACGATTAGAAAAAATTTTAAATAATTTCTTGCGATGGAGCTCTATTTCCTATTAGTCTACGTGAAAACAAAGAAACCCACTTGAAGCGAGTCTCCGCTGAGGCATTCCTGGTGTTACGGGCATTCGTACTTACCACGTTTTCCTTATCGCAGTGTGAACTGAAGCCCTTGGACACAATAGCCGCATACTGGAGCAGCACTTGATTGATAGTCTAGGAAAGAAAGCAGTGTGAAGTTCAGTCAGGGAAGGAGGTACTTGGACATGTACACTCTTCAGATCAGGGTTCGGCCAAGCAAGCTTCTCATACACCTTTTCAGCTGAAAGGGCAGCATAAGCAGTTCCTAAAGCCACCAAAGCACACCCAAATAAAACAAGCTACCGACGGCTGTCAGGTTAATTCTGACTCACAGTGTCATCTTATAGGAGAGAGTAGAACAGCCCTATTGAGTTGGAATCTTTATGGACACGGACTACCACACCCCTCTCTCCCTTGGAATGGTTGATAGACTTGAACTGCTAACCCTTAGTTAGCAGGTAAGTGCTTTACTACGACACCACCACGGCTCATTTTATGAACGTGCCACACTTGCTGAAGGAGGGTCTAAAGCCTAATGGCAAGCTCCTATAGTTCTGAATGCATTTGGCGTATATTCCGCTGTCTCTGTCCATTCCATTGCAATACAATCAGTGTTATCGTAAAATTCACCGTTACTACATACGCAGACCACATATGTGACCTTCTAGTGGCAATCTCTTTGATGCTTGTGTACCTCTCATAGCTCTTTCCCCTTAATACGTGGTACCTCTGCTTTGCATCATTCCTCATGGTTTCTAGATCTAGTGCTTCTACACACAGACACACACATCCATGCCAAGTATCTGTGTAGCCATTATTCTCAAATTTCTACAATGTTCCTAAATGCCTCCACATAGACAAAGTAAAAAAAA